AAACTTTTTAATTTAAATAATATAATTTACAAGAAAAGCCCCAAGCCATTAAGTTAACCTTTCTCTTTTATTGTATTTAATTGTATTACAAGTTATTGTCTATTTCAGTTGCCTGTTTTATTTAATAGGCACTTGAGTTTTGTTCATTATACTTGTAGTTTGTAAATGCATTTTTTCAATAAAGTTTGGGGCGGTGGGGGTGGAAGAGAGAGGAAAACTGGGTGATGCTCGCCATGTAGCATGCTCTATCAACCAAGTTTCTTGAAGAACCTCTTCTAAAACAGACTGTTGTATGTTCATGTTTAAATGATTAAAATGTATCGATCGTGGCGACAGTCTTCACTCTTCTTTCTTTTCCGATTCAACTTTCCAACGTGGAGAAAGCCGAGACGGAAATTGATGGTGCGCCAGAATTTAAAGTTTTACTTTGGTGAACATTTTTACTTTGGTGAATTTGGTGAATTCCGGATCCGCTCTCTTGACCGGAACCAGAATCCAGACAAAATTCAGAGTGAATGGAAACCAGGCTCTTTGCTGTACGTGAAGAGCCTGGTGACGCGAGGCTTCATTCTACTTAACTTAGACCTGTTGTCCTCAATCGTGGACACTTTTTTGTGCCATCTAGTGGCAGTAAGAACACAATACACTAATCCATGAAAAACAAGATGGCAGCCATCTCTGCCAAGTCAGCCTGCAGCTGATCCCAACACAAAAGTGGACAAGGTCCAAAACCTGATCACGTTTTATGGTTGAAACTTGTTTATTTATGGTTGATAATGTTTGTAGTTTGATATGGCAACAAATTTGACCAATTTCAGCAACAGTAACAAGCTAAGACGCCGTTAATTAGGAAGTACTCATTTGAGGACACTGGGACTTTATTATTGTTGACAATGTTTAGTTCTTATACTCATAAGGTCCTGCTGATCAGCTGAACAGCTAGGAGAAATTAAATATGCAAACCAAACAAAAGTCCTGGTCTCAGGAGGAAATACTGTAGCATATTTGTACGCATTTCTTATTTTCTCTCTCTATTGTGTTAAATATTGTAGCATAATGCACATGTATTTTTTGGGGGGGTTCATTTTTCACATAATTTCTCCTTAAAGGGAAATTTCATTTTATTTCAACCTGTCTCCTATCATCCTAAATTTGTTTCAAGTGACTAGTGACATAAAAATAATAGTTAGCATGTTAGCCGTTAGCCTAGATACAGCGCATAGTAGCGTCAGACCTGTTAAAACGTAAGTGAACAGGCATACTTCAAGTCCGTGATTTCAGGCACGGTATAAGATCGCTGCTTGTTCTCACGATATTTCGCTTTGGAAAGTAGAGCTAAATGGTAAACAAACATGGCACCACACCGGTAAGGTAAGACAACACGTTTACATGTCGTTTTCTATATGTTCTCTGACATTTATCCTAACGATATGAGGCGGTCTTTGTGGAAAAAAAGCTTGTTTAGTGGACTAACTTTGCACTTGAAGTATGCCCGTTCACTTACGTTTTAACAGGTCTGACGCTACTATGCGCCCCGGCTGTATCTAGGCTAACGGCTAACATGCTAACTATTATTTTTATGTCACTAGTCACTTGAAACAAATTTAGGATGATAGGAGACGGGTTGAAATAAACCGAAATTTCCCTTTAAAAGCAAACATATTTTTGTGTCTGTACAGAAGCAGGTTCTCCACACAGTAAAAGACAGTATTAAAGATTATAAAGCTCATGTCTCATTTCCTGAGTGTTTGTGTATGTTCATATGTGTGTATGTGTGTACCACTACAGACACACACACTTCTAACAAAAAAGAGAGGCCCAGTTGTTGGGGCTGTAGCTTTTGAACTGTCCCAGTGATGAAGATGGAGGGCACAGTTAAATAATACCTCCAGACGTGCATATAGGAGGCCCCTTCTATACCTCCAGGGCTCCAGAGGGAACAGGCTGAGCCTCACAATGCTTTACCCCAGAGAGGCCTCACCCTGCTGGGCTCCTGATGGCTGCACCTGGCCCCTGCAGCTTCTGAGCAGCAGAATAAAAGCACATACCGTCCAAATCACATAAACCAGCTGTCTATCTATTTCTACCTCATTCAAACAAACTGGTGTCTTTGGGGACAGTGTGTGTTATCCTTTTTTTCTCCTCTGTTTTTCCCCCGATGTTCTGGTCCTGTGTGTATATATGTGTGTGTGTGTGTTGTGGGATATCATTTTTCACCCTAAAGGGGGTCTGAGTAACCCTGTAACCAAGCCTCCACCTCCTCCTGTGCAATGAGAGGTAGGCTTTTTAGGAAAGATCATACAGAAATATTAACTCTCCCCCCTCACTCTTCCTCTCTTTGTGTGATTTTTGATACACATTTGAGCGCTGCTGACAGCTCGTGCCTCGTGGCTAATTCAGACATCATCTCACCCAGTTAGCAGGGATTTCTTCTTCTGTGATGTTACATATTCATACCCACTCAAGCCAGCTTGTCAAACTTCATTATTCCATCGTTTAACAGTAATTTTTACAGTGTAATATACATGCAAACGTATAGGCACACAGGGAAATACAAACTGTGTGATGAGTCAATGGGTGGATTACGAGACAATGAGCCTCTGGGCACAGACATGCAGAAGACACACAGACTGTGCAGTTGTTTGTCGTTGTCTGCGTCTCTTTGTAGTTGTTACACATCTCTCTGTGGTTTAGTTTTTTGTGTCTGTGGTTATATTGCCCATTTTTGTAGTCGTTTTGCATTACTTTGTAGTTGCTTTGTGTTTCTTTGTGGTCATATTGTGTCTCTGTGTGGATGTTCTGTCCCTTTTCTTGGTCGTTGTGAATCTCTTTGTGTCTCTTTGCAAATGTTGATTGTTTTATGTTTCTTTGTAGTAATTTTCTGTATTTTTGTGGTTGTTTTGCCACTTTTTTGTAGTCATTTTGAGTCTCTTTGTGTCTCTTTACAGCTGTTTTGCATCTATTTGTAGTCATTGTGTGTCTTTTTGTGGTTATTTTGTGTCTCTTTGTGGTCATTTTATGTCTCTTTGTAATCATTTTGTGTCTCTTTGTGGTCATTTTGTGTCTCTTTGTGGACATTTTATGTCTCTTTATGGTCATTTTGTGTCTCTTTGTAGCCATTTTAAATCTCTTTGTAGTCATTTTGTGTCTCTTTGTGGTCGTTTTGTGTCTCTTTGTAGTCATTTTGTGTCTCTTTGTGGTCGTTTTGTGTCTCTTTGTGGTCATTTTATGTCTCTTTGTACTCATTTTGTGTCTCTTTGTGGTCATTTTGTGTCTCTTTGTGGACATTTTATGTCTCTTTGTGGTCATTTTGTGTCTCTTTGTAGCCATTTTAAATCTCTTTGTAGTCATTTTGTGTCTCTTTGTGGTTGTTTTGCCTCTTTTCATAGTCGTTGCGGGTTTCCTTGTGTCTCTGTGCAGCTGTTTTGCATCTTGTTATATTCATTTTGTGTCTCTTTGTTGTTGTTTTCCCATTTTTATAGTCACCATGAGTCTCTTTGTGTCTCTTCACAGCTTTTTACATCTGTTTGTAGTCTTTTTGTGTCTCTTTGTGATCATTTTATGTTCCTTTGTAGCCATTTTGAATCCCTTTGTTGTCATTTTAGGTCTCTTTGTGGTTGTTTTGCTCCTTTTCATAGTTGTGGTGAGTCTCTTTGCGTCTCTTTACAGCTGTTTTGCATCTCTTTGTGGTCATTTTGTGTCTCTTTGTGGTCATTTTGTGTCTCTTTGTAGTAATTTGTGTCTCTTTGTGGTAATTTTATGTCTCTTTGTAGTCATTTTATGTCTCTTTGTGGTCATTTTGTGTCTCTTTGTTGTCATTTTGTGTCTCTCTGTTGTCGTTTTGTGTCTCTGTTGTCATTTTGTGTCTGTTGTCATTTTGTGTCTCTTTGTAGTCATTTTATGTCTCTTTGTTGTCATTCTGTGTCTCTTTGTGGTCATTTTGTGTCTCTTTGTAGTCATTTTGTGTCTCTTTGTTGTCATTTTGTGTGTCTTTGTGGTCATTCTCAGTCTTTTCCTGGTTGGTAGGTGTTAATTTGAGTGACATTTTACAGGTGAAGGCAAGGGGAGCTCTGACATTTTGTGCCCGGTAGACTTGTTTATTAATCAATATGTGGATATGTCACCCTTTGTAAAAGGTTTTTAAGTTGTAACAGAATACTTTGATTGTCAATAAATAGCTCACCAATGTTTTATTGATCACTTACAAGCATATAGTTGGGCTTTTGGATCATTCATGAAGGCAGTAACAAAGAGTGATAGACAATCAGATCTGTAGTTGCATATATTAATAAAGGTATTGGGCTTAAGTCTACAATCCTAAATGTATGTAATTAGTAGGGGGTTCTTACAATAATGCAAGTCTGCAATTATAAGTGTTAACAATTTGTTAATATTGAGTTTGGTCCAGGTGCTCTGCAGCTCTTTTCAAGATGATTAGACATTTAACAATCCATCAGAGGAGTCTTCCTGATGGATTAAAGAGCTAACAAGACAAATTCGGCACCAATAAATGCCACAAACTGCATTAGCAAATTATAATGAATCCATTAGTTACAGCTTTTTAGAAAGCTGAGAGATTTTTTTGCACAAATCCTTGTCGAGGATCACTGTTGCATGAATTTAACAAGCCTGTACTGCTGATGAACAGTCTGCTTTACTTCAGGATCAGCACCTGTAATTGGGCCAAGTGGGACAGAGGGTCTGTCATCTGTTCTGATCACCAACCCAAGCAACTTCTTTTTCTCCGGGATGATGTATGGTGCTTTAGACAACACAAAAACTGTGCTGACTGCAGGAGAAAAAAACCCAGATGTTGTCAGACCACAGCAGCAACACCTCAGACCTATAGACCACCTTACATCTGCCCTGTGTGTGTGTGTGTGTGTGTGTTGGAGGAGGCTGTGCCTGCACCGCCCCGTCGGTGTGTGCGGTGGGCAGCGTCGAGCTCATCCTGCCCCCGGACTGGTCCACGCACTATACTCACAGCCTCTCTCACACACACACACACACACACACATACACATGCACATACACTGTCACAGTGAAACGAGGCAGGCCGGGAAAACCGGGGCGCTTCAATTAGCGCTCCACCGACGGATCCCTGGCGTGGACATTTTTAATTTTTCATCACAGCCTGCTTGGATTTTTCTCATGTGGATTTTTGCGCATAGAGCCCGGACTGCTGCTGAGGTGTGTTTGGGCGATTGAAGCATTTCGGAGATGAAGACAAACGCTCTGTGAATGGGAAACACCAGCACGGAGACACCGCTACCTTTACCCCATCTTGACAAGCACGCTCACCCTTCCGTTGGTGAGATTTGCGCACACGGGACCGAAGCCGGTGTCTGCGCTCTGCGGGGCCGGGCGCGCGTCGTCTGGGAGGAGTAGGGAGGATGGAGGCGTTTTTCACGGAGGTAAGCTATGGAGAATGTGTGTCACTGTTATCGACATGAACATTAATGTCAGATTGAGCATGTCGCGGTGTGATACAGGCTACATTTGCACCGATGCACGGCCTGTGCTGCAAGATGCTTTTTGATTTTCATCGGGTTTGGTTACGGCAGGTGTTGCTTTTGCATCCGTCGACCGTTTCCAACAAAACCCTGGCCTGTGCTTTAACTGCATGCCTGTGTCGATTGAGAATAAACACACAGTTTATTTTATGGTCACTGCAGAGCATCAGGGCCTGGCTGCCGGCTTGGTGAATTAATTCAGAGCAGAGCCGCAGATAAATTGGCCAAACGAGAGCTGACACGGGCTTTTGCATCCATACGGCTTGCTCCCGGATTAAAGCCAATCTGTTAACGGAGGGTAGACCGTGTTGACCTACAGCAACAGCCCTCCCACACCGTGCTGCTGTGAAGAGACCCTGTCTGTGCTTTTTAAGAGGGATGGAGCTGGGATCCATGGGTGGGTATGGGTCGGTACACGGCTGCGGGAGCTGGGGAGGGTGTGAAGGAGGAAGAGGGGGATGAGGGATGTTTGTGTGCATGTATGTGTATGTGGATGAGCAGCCTAGGTGAGACAAATGATTAACAACTGGTATCTAATTGAATATTAGTTAAATCAGTTTATTAATTCAGCCTTCATTCCTCCACTGCCTGCTGGAGACAACTCTTCCCTTTTCACCTCCAGCATCCTTATCTGATTCTCATAAAACCAAACCTGATGGGTTTTCCATTCAGATCCACAGTGTTCCAGCAATTCACCTCCTCTATATCTCCATCCCTTCTTCCCTCCATGTAGGGTCTTCATTGTACACTGTCAGCCCCCTCAGGAGATGCAAGCTCTTACCTCTCCCCCCTCCCTTCATTTCATTTTGGTCCATACACACCATTCAGTGGCCCGTGTAACCACACAATCTCACAAAACGCCGTCTTGTCCGCTGACTTTGATGCCAATATCCGTCCTCTCCAAGCTACTTATCCTCCTCCCTCTTAAGTTAATCTGATATGGGTTTAAATGCCTCTCACATTGGCAGTGATGTCATGCCATTTATTAGTGTGTGTGAGTGGTTGTGCGGGTATTAAGTTTGTGTGAGTACCAGGGCCATGGTGAGCAGTGGTGTCCGAGGCCCATCGTTTTCTGGCTGTTGCTGGGAAAACTAGAGGTGTGATCAATTGTAGCCAAGTCACCTGAAAAAAAATGTTGGCACTGTAGATTTCTGGAAACCACAGATATGTAACATTTGCCCAGTTCATGTGATATGTTAATGTTTCATAAGTGATGTAATATATGGCCTGTCTTTGTCACTGGGAGGAGGAGGAGGGGATGGTGGGTGGCGTGTCACCTTGGTGAGATGGCTGTCAAGTTGAAGACCACTGCAGACCCTTGTTTGAGACCAAAAAACAACAAAACCGGTTGTGATTTAGTGAGTCATTGTTGTGTTTCCAGCTTTTTTAGCTTTTTTCTTTTTTTTGTTTTGTAGCGACCCATCACTGTTTGTCCAGTGATTTATCAACCACTTCACAGTGGTGTTTTGTAGCAACTCATCACTGTTTGTCCAGTAACATTTTAGCCACTAAACATGGGTGTCTTGTAGTGACCTGTTACTGTTTTTCCAACAGCGTTTTAGGCACTAAACGTGGGTGTTTTGTAGCCACCCGTCACTGTTTTTCCAGTGACCTTTTAGCCACTATACATGGGTGTTTTAAGTGATCTGTCACTGTTTTTCCAGCGGCTTTTTAGGCACTAAATGTAGATGTTTTTTAGTGACCTGTCATTGCTTATCTGCAGATTTTTAGGCACTAAAGTTTGCAGTTTTGTAGCAACTTGTCACTGTTTATTCAGCAGCTGTTTAGGCACTAAATGTGGATGTTTTGTAGCAAACTGTCACTGTTTGCCCAGTGACTTTTTAGGTCCTAAACTTGGGTGTTTTGTAATGACCCATCACTGGTTGTCCAGTGACTTTTTAGCCACTCAGCATTTGTGATTTGTCACTGTTTTTTCAGCAGCTTTTTAGGCACTAAACATGGGTGTTTTGTAGTGACCTGTCACTGTTTTTCCAGCGGATTTTTAGATTTTTAAATGTGGATGTTTTGTAGCAACCTGTCATTGTTTGCCCAGTGACTTCTTAGGTCCTAAACGTGTGTTTTGTGGCAACATGTCACTGTTTGTCCAGTGGTTTTTTAACCTCTAAATGTGGGTGTTTTGAAGCAACTCATCACTGTTTTACCAGTCACTTTTTAGGAATTAAACTTGGGTGTTTGGTAGCGACCCATCACTGTTTAACCAGTGGCTTTGTTGGCACTGAGAGTGGGTGTTTTGTAGTGACCTGTCACTATTTTGTCAGTGGCTTTTTAGGCACCTAACAAGGGTGATTTGTAGCAACCCATCTCTGTTTTTGGGGATAGTGCCAAGAAAAGTGGTTGTTTCTTACTGAAACATTGCCTCCTTTCTAGCAGGGACTATGCCTCCAAAACTGTTTTTTTAAGCCAAAACACCATCTATTCCTAACCATTATCAATTGTTTTTTGTGCCTTAACTTAACCACACCATTGTTGAAATGTAAAGTTTCAATGTATCTGCTACAAATTCCCGTGCATACACCATATCCATGGTTTGCAGAAACATGCAATGCCAACATGTTTCCTGGGGATTGGGTTGTCCATTGAATCCTGGCAATAATTTAGATGATCATACCACAACAGCTAAGTGTAACAACCATCACTCCTGCTCCATTTCCCATCAGTCTGTTTGTAATATATTGATCACAGTATCGATTCCCAGACCAGCACATCACAAACCCTGCAGCCCCACCACGCAGCACAGACTGTGAGAGCCTATGTGAGACCTGAAAATGGAGTGACTTATTGAGTTATGATGTTCAGGCCTGCAGTCCTGCATAAGCTGCATATCTGATACCCAGAAACATGACTTCATGCAGTGGGGCGCTGAGTAATCAATCCTCTTGAGAAGTGTCTGCCCAACATCCACTTTAGTTTCATTCCTCTTCTATCTTCATCACTCCATCCCTCAATCTTATATCCTGTATGCGTCCCCCCACTTGTCTCTCTATCCCTTAAACCAGGAAGAGTGAACAGCTGACCTCCCTCTCTCAAGCCAGGCAGAAAACATGATAGCTGGCTGACCGGCCGAGCATGAAATGTCAGGTGGCAGTAGACTACTGTATAATCCCCTCATATTCAAACTGGATTGGTTAGTAGTGGGGTAGTTGCAGTGACATTATGGGATCTAAATACAAACAAGAATAAGTCTTTTTCTGGTTAGCTTAGCTGAAAAACATGCATGAGAAAAGCTAGAGGATACTACAGTAGAGAGTACAGTGAAAGCCCTAAAGGGTCATTAGAATACTGCAGATTGTTTCGATGTGATCTTGGCATAAATATCCTGAACATGGCCAAGAAGTGATCTTCATGTACTACAATACAAAGTTTGGGTAATCCCTTCTTTGTTGTTAATCAAACTAATCACTACTGAAGCAAATCACAGCTACACTCAGCTCCAATTGATTACTTTAGTACGAACCATTAAACTGTGCCTGCTCAGTAAGCCACTATAGTTAACTGACAGTAACTGGGTGTCAATATTCAGTAACAGCTAGGGCTGGGTATCGTTTAGTCAAATCACAGCACCAGTGCCAGTACAAATACCCTTAAAGTGACACTGATACCAATAGAGTACTTAATTTGATACCTTTTTTTCTACTTCATTCGATACCCATCATGTGAATGGAAACATTCAGTTGCGTAAAATGCCACCAAACACCACAGGCTTGTAGTACTGCCATACTTTGGAATGTTTTGGTGGAATCTCAGCACAAATTCTTCAAATTCACAGCACTCGACTTCACCACACCACAGACTATGTCTTGTAGCTGCTTTGGAAATAGGCCAATCACACACGTGTTAAATTAAAGAGCACTTGCAGTGATTGGCTGCCAGCAAAATCATACAAATACGTGGTAATTTTTTCTAGATCTGGGTACAAAAAGGATTGGATGCAGGTATCATTTGACTGAAGAAGTTTGGCTACTACTTCGTACTGGGTCATTGGTCGATACCTTAAAGGTATTGAGTACTGGTACCCAGGCCATTAGTAACAACTAACCCTCTATGTAAGAACTAGTTATAATATAGATTTCCAATCAAACCTTTTTTTTTTAACTTAGCTAACTTTTCCTATTGATAAGCTAATCAGAATCAAATTCAGGGCATTGCCCAAAGTCAGTACTGCATTTTTATTATGTCAAAGTACCTTAGAATAGAATCAAAAAAGACAATAGAAGAAAAGTCCTTTAAGTGCTCAGAGAAAATGCAAATTTAAACATCTACAATATGACAACTGGGCAAACTCCATCTGCTGAGAAGATCATAACGAAACTGCGACCATTCATAATGACTTTGCATTAGCATTGTCGACATTATTTTTCATTTATACAGAGTGCCAGGAATGAGTCCTGAACCCAGAAATGAGTGAGCATTTTAGCACTCCTGGTTAGGGTTGAGCCGAATAGACATAATGTGCTTTTTACAAGTACGATTATCATACGAGTAAAATGTGTTATTATCTGTGATAAAGGAAAATCCTCATTTGCATAGTGGTGTTTATTCTGTTACTCTTGTGATAAAAATGATCTGAAGCTCAATTCTGAGGCTGTTCTGTAAATACTTTTCTCATAGGTAATAAATATTGCAACTTCTAATCAATCCATATAAATTTCAGGCTTAAAATAATAACTTCCAATTAGGCCCAACCCTACTTGTGGCATAAACTCTGACCATTCAGTGCACAGATACAGATAATTTAGTTGGTTGAACAGATACAGACACAGATACCGATAATAGTGTACTCGCTCATCCCTACTCCCGCTTCCCATGTCTTGAAGTCAGTAAATTTGATGACTGAAATAAGGTCTGTGGTTAACACAAGCTTGAGAGACTTTGACGTTTGT